TTTCCTCTTCTTGCAAGCAGTTAGGGAAGAGTTCTTATAAGACATAAATGAAAGACAACATGGTCTCATCTGCTAGATTTTATGGCTCAGTGGGTTTAGCACTGTATTTTACTCTGGCTCTACCACTGTCAGGTACCATGAAGTATAAACTTAACAGAGAAATGTAAGGAAAAAGAAAGCTGTATAAACTGAAAGCTTATTTTGCATGATTTTACACGCTACCTCACATTTCACTGACAATATACATTTATCAGATGCAGACAAGCAGATCTACTGACATACATAATTCTTCACTGAGGCCATCTGCAGAATATTTAATGTGGAATGCCTTTCCTGTAAATAAGTGTTCAGAGAAGTAAAAAAGAAAGAAATTTCATTCTCTCTTCCTCGGTCTCTAAGAGAACTTCCCCATCTGTCCTGCCTGACGTCTCTATCAGCATTCCCATGTTTGCCCAGGGAAGTTTCAGACCCACAGTCCCCAGCTGGAACAGAGGGAACTCAGCACCAACACCTGCTGGAGAGTTAAAGATCAGCTCTTTGGCTCAAAAACCTCAATGGCTCTTTTCTGCACCACTGAAAAGCAATGAGGGTGCTTCAGTGAACATTCCAGGTTGTTGAGGTAGATGAATATTGAACCTGCTTTTCTGGTACATCCTCTGCGTGTAGGCTGGCACCGTCCCATGGATCCCAAAGGCTCACAAGTCAGTAGAAGATTAGGAGGAAATCAACTTCCATTCTCCTTTACACACCTTTTTGAGGATCCATTGCTTATGGCCACCACAATAAACTGCATTGCACCTTACAGTATAAGGTGGCATCTGCAAAGTATCATCCACAGGCCTAGGGATCTTGATCTTTAGCTCTTAGTTTAGTAAAACACCAGTTTTGTATATTTTTAAAACAACATCAACTTCAGGGATAATCCAAAATGATGGGATGTGTGTGACACAATCTGATATTTAACACTCAACTTATATTTCATGTTCTCTTTCTCGTGTCAGGCTCTGTCTGGCTGGTATGTTGAAATCTTTTGATTAAATCCTCTTACTTCACTGCTTCCTTATTGAAACTCACCCTTTGTCTGGCAAAATTTTAATTACTGCAGGACTGCATAACTCCATTCAGTGCCCTGATAATACCTCTGTGATAGGAGCAAAAGCAATTCCTAAGATAGACTGCAACTATAATACTCTATCATTATGTCTTCTTTTATGGCTCCTAGCACCCTCTTTATGGCTGCTAATATATTGTGGTTTCTGCCTTTCAGGTACTGATTTCTGCTCTCCTTCACTCAATGTGTCCTTTTTCTCACCCAGAGAATTAACACCCTATCTCTGCAATCTCTTTCCTGCTCCCAGACATAATGTAGGGAAGGTCTCTTCTCCTTGTCATATTATTCTTTCCCATCTCTCAAAGACAGGAGTTTATACAATGCTCTGCATGTTCTGCAACACAATCAGCATCCAGGATGTGCTGGTCTGCTCTCAGGAGGTGCCTTCAGGCATGCTGGGTGGACCTAACCCAAAAGTCAGAGCAGGAATGCTCTAATCTTCAGAGGACTGAAGGAAAACTGAACTAAACAAGCTTAACTACACCCTCAGAGAGGAAAGCACAGCAGCTTTTCCTCCCTCTTGGTTCTGCTGGGTTGCTGACTCCCATTGACATCAAGTAACCATTAAAATCAGACCAGCTTCTAGTCCAACAGGACAGGTAGAATTTTAGATATGAAATGTACACATACATTACCCTGTAATTGTGATTTAAAATTCCATTTGAGAATTAATAGCAATGGCCTCCCTTTCAGGCAATCGTCTCCACTCCCACTCTCAGCTGTATTGGCTCACACTTTCAAAAGCCTTAAGGGGAACAGGTCAGTCGAAAATCACTGCTCTGAGATAACATATTTCTACACCTGAGAAGCCAAAAAGCAGCAATTAAGCACAGCAAAATAAATAATTCAATAGCTAATTTGACCTGCCAGGTTGCAGAGTATTTTTTTATATCCTACCAGATTGTAATTTAGTTTAGAAGAAGTGTCCCTGGAGAGCAATGCTGTGAGAGCCCATAAAATGCTATAGTATGATATCAGGCAAAAAGCCACCTGTAAATGGGCCACTATTGTTTAAAGAAGTTGGTTTTTTTGTTGTTTTCAGTCCTGCATATTTCATGAGAAAGTGATGAAATCCTTCTTTGATTCTTTACGAATTAATCTGCCAACTGATTAGGCAGGTAAAACAGTCATAGACTGGGAAACTAAACTGCACTGCAGGCACTTGACTTATAGATGGAACACAAACCAAAGAGAAAGCTAAATGCTCTTTTCTGTGGTAAAGGAATTGGCTTCTTTTTAATTGCCTCACAAATAATCCATAGACAGCTTTTAGTGGGAGCAATCCAAGTGGCCTCTGAATACATAAATAAGCATTGAAAATGGGGGGAAATATTCATGCAAGGTGCAACTGAGTGGGAGAATAGAACAGCAGAGCTTTAACAAGAGACTCCCACCTGATTCCTGAGTTTATAGAGCTGTGGGGTGGGGGCAGTGCTAACCTGGTGGGAAAAAACAGAGCAGTCCAGATGGAAAGACCTCAGTTCCTCCCAGCCAAAGGAGATGAGGTGAAAATGGAGACGACAGGCAACCACAAGTGCACAGGTGAGCAGAACTAAAACAGGAGGGGGTGGGCGGAGCAGGGTTTGAGATGGCTCTGAGAGCCACAAAGGTGGAGGGGAACAAGAGGAGAAGAGCAGCAGGGAGCACTGTGAGCCCACAGGTGCAGCTCTGAAATGAAGGGGCACAGGAGGCTCCTGGGGCACAGGAGGCTCCTGGAGCACGTTGCTGTCCCCGTTGATCACCGAGTGCCCCAGAGCAGGGGCAGAGCCTGGCTGAGCTGAGCAGCTGAGACCTGAGAGCTCTGCTGGAAGGAGGGTGCACCAGGCAGGGGCAGAAAACACAAACCTTTTCCCTTGGACATACACACTCATTTACTGAGCATTCCAGGTTCTTGCTATGCTGATCTCAACCCCTTCTGACATTAATGCAAAGCAGCGCAGTAAAAAAATCAAACCCTAACAAACCCCAAAGCAACCACAAAGCCCTTTCCTGCTTACTGACACCATTGCTGATCTTCCCTGGCAAGAGTACATCAGTCAGATCTCAATGTCCTTATAAAATGATAACAAATTCTCCTCAAGCCCCAGAAAATCCTCCCCAGCTTGAGCAGGACAGGCACTGGGGACAGCACCCAGCGCATGCTCTTCACAGTCCCTCATCCTGCCTCATAGCTGATATTATTCTAAATGAATATTTGAAAAATTTTGAAATATCTACTTGCTTTAAAAGCAAATAAACAAATTAAACCAGCTCTTAAGCTTCTAGAAAAATATTACAGCTGCTATTATAGTCTAACATAGTCCTAAAGAAAAAAAATGGGATGAACATAAAGCAGGTGCACTACAAGACTTATTTTATTGCATCTTCCATTTTATAAAGATATTCATGAACATATAAAAATAAACACTCTACTCCTTTGCAATTAAGTTTCTCTCTAGTTGTAAGTACAGCTATTTTTAGTTTTAATTTGAGGATATCTCCCAGAATTGCAGAGCATAATAATTTCCACCATAACTCTGCATCATCATTATCAAATACCAGCCTATCTTTGGAAAATGCATGTTTTACATGCCAAAGGTCCCAGAAGTCCTTTTGCAGCTGATGGTACAGATTAGTTCCTACAGTCCCAACTTCCAGTAATGCTAAATATTGTCCACCAAGTGGTGCTGCAAAGGTTTATTCCAAATGCAGTTCTGGCCCATTAAACCAAAAGGGGATGGGGAAAGGCATGCTAATTTCAAGCCCTTTTAAAAGAATGCAGGCAATAATTTGATGTTTTCCTCAGTTGTAAAGGCAAGGAAATTTATGAGGAAATCAGAGTGGTATTCAAGTTTCTAAGAAGAAATGATAGAAAATTACAAGGAGGTAAAAGAAGCACTTGAAATCCTCCAGCTCAGAGGCTCCTTAATGGTGTCTCCCCATGACCGCTTTGGGATTTCACACCCATTGTGGTTCCCTGTTGCAGAATTTCTCAGAGGGCAGGATTTATGTCTGGAGCGAGAATTGACCTCCCACTCAGACTAGGCCTGGTAAGCGGCCTTGGTGGGGCCTGGGAGCCTTTGATGCAGTGAGAATTCAGTTGTAGCACAGTTAGAAATAATGTTAAGGTAACTACAAAGTAATGAGCTATCCGAGTGTGAATTAGGGTAGACCTGCAGTGTGAAAAGCCTGACCACCTTAAGGCAAAGGTAAACAATGTTAGTGTGCCAATCAGAGTGCCTTTGTAAACTGTAAACTATATGGAAGTGCATAAAAACTGCCATCTTCTCACTAATAAACAGAGAACGTAGCATTAACCATATGGGTTTGATCTGCATCTGTCCTGTCCAGCTTTCCTGTTTTATGAGGACCCTGAGGTCAGTTCCCATTACTTCTCTCTCCACAGAGCCGTGCTAGACCAGGCACAGCAGCTTTTTTTTGGGTCTTGCAGCCACTGCAGGAGCCTGTCAGCAATGGTGCAATAATTAGGAACACAGTGTGTGGGTCTCAGATTCAGTCAAAGACAGAAACTGAGAATTTCTAGCCAGGCAGAGGCCTGGGAAAGAGCTGGGAAAAATGTAAATAATTCTTTATCTCTCTTGTTTTTCACATTGTTTATGGTTAAGTTCTATCACTGTGCACCAAGCACTCTGCACCAATGGTGTGGACTGTTTTTACTTCAGAACCAATGGATTTGGTCCTTGCGAAGCTCTGTATAAAAGAGAGGTGTATTTTGAATAAAGGGGGGTTTTACTCTAAACAGCCTTCTAAATCAGAGTCTCTTCATTCCCGTCCTGCCTCTGCAGCGACAACAGTGCTTGCTGATGAGATGCCAGCAGCTGTCCCAGGGCCACTGTCCCAGTGCCACTGTCCCAGTGCCACTGTCCCTCTGGGCACAGGCAGCACTCACCAGCCAATGTTGAACTCCACGTGGGCATCGAAGAAGCCGACCACGGGAGATGTTGCTGCTTTCCAGCCCTGGATCCTGGCTCGGATCAGCCCCTCGCGTTTGTTGTTGCGCACGATCTTCACCAGGCCCGGGTACCTCTTATGGACGTACTGGTCCAGGTTAAACTTCAGCTCAACTGCAGGGCACAGAGAAAACCCACACACACTTTTAGAGTGAGAAACGCCCTGCAATGATGTGGTTTATTCTGTAACAGAAAGGGAGAGGAATCCTTAAATACTCCAAAACCCTTCATTGAGTCTCACACATAACAAACCCTGAGGTATGGAGCAGCTCCAGGGGTTTCAGCCCAGAGAAATTCCCCACACACCAGAGACGTGCCCAAATTTAATACTGCCTGATGGATTTGAGTATAGTGTTGAAGAGGTAGTTTGTCTACGTATTTTTAAAAATTTACTATTCTGATTCTCTGATGATTTGCATTAGGTTACAACCAGCCTTTGGAAGAGCAATTCTGACCATAAACAAGTGTAACATGTCAATCTGGTGATTTATTTTTTCTGATTTATGCTGTTCTGTAGGAATTAGAAAAATAACCTCAATGGATTTGGGTCAAGATGTAATTCAGATCACAATTAATTTCCCTTAATTTTCAGGGTTTTCCCTTAAATATAATTAAGATTCTTCAATACCAGGCTTCTTTCCTTTTTAACTAAATGGATATTGAAGATCTCAAATAGACTTCTCTTTTGTTCATTTTCAGGCATTCAATCACAGATGGAGGAGAACTCATTCACCCTTTTTCAGCTTCATTTCAAGAGGCTTATAAACAAGCAAATTACCAAAATGGTCTCCCTATTTTTTAAATCAATGTAGTTCGGTAATTCATTTACACTGAAACTTATTCATAAAGTGGCTTTTGCCTAAATATATTTATCAGAAAACTAGTAGAAGCTTCCAGGACATTAGGAGCCTCATTTTTCTGATCTATATTAGACAGTAGAATCATTATCATTAGAATCTAAGAGTTGATAAATCTCCAGTTATTTAGAAGAGTGGCAGAGAAAAGCCATATAAGAGTTCACTGAAAAATGATGAGTTCAATTCTCCTCAGGATTGCCTTGACTCAAACACTTTTCAGCCTCACATAATTACTCCACAGGTTACACTGCCATAATTGAAATCTGAATTGCATAGGCATTTTCTTAAATCTATAGGTTCTGGAACTTATTTTCTTTTGAGTTATCTCTTCTCTCAGCTCTCCCTTCTCTTTGGGATCTTGAAAAGTAAGAGCAATGTAAAACTGAAAGAACTTAGAGCTGTTTATCTGAGGAGGAAATGTTAAATTTTAGGCTTATTGGAAATAAATATGACTTTAGAAGATGAATCGGTTCTAGAAGTGTAATGTACAAATTTAAACACAACAACACCAGTCTCTTATATCCTGAGAATCTTTAAACATGATTGCATTGTGAAACATGCTGATAATAGCACCCTATATGCTCACCAATATTTGGATTTTGGATTAAATAATGAAGAAACAATGTGCTGCCATATAAAAGAGTGGCATCTATCTTTAACAAGAATCTGTAGCCTCAATTATCCTTGGAAGCAGAATTTAAACTTTTATTCTATTGATGATGATATTCCTCTGGATCTGAAAATTTGGAGAAAAGTGTCCTGTTGAGATTGCCTACATAAATACCATTAATTCTGTTAGGATTTCAATGAAATCAACAGGCTTTATCCACATAATGTTTATTTGTTCTACAAATAGTCAATATTTACTCACAGCTTTGTGCAAATGGCTCAATCAACCCTCTCATCAACAAACACATTTACATTTCACACCTAGAAATCACACGGGGCACCGTGTAAAAGGGTAAAGTGACAGAAGCTCACCGTTGTCACTGTTGTCATCCACCAGGATGATCTCCTTGAGCAGGTGGGATGGGGTGTGGTTCACCACACTGTGCACGGAGCGCAGGATGACAGAGAGAGCCTCGTTCACAAATATGAACACCACAGAGATCTGGGGCAGGTCCTCTGGGTAGGTCATCTGCTTGCACCTGCAGAGAGGAAAGACACAATTAAAACCCAAGCAGCCACTGCAGGCAAAACAGACTGAAGAGCATCCTCCTCTCCTTGCTCTCCATCTGTGTAGGGATTTGCAGACTTTGTCCTTTCTTAATGCCTCAGGTTTTAGCTTTTATATTTTTCAGATTCTGTGCTGCTTTGGTGTGTAGTTCTGAGCTTCATATTAGGGGATGGTGAGCTCTCTGCACAGAGTAGGGAGACAAAACAATTCCTGCTCCAGCTGGGGACCAAGGACAAATGATCCAAATCTCAGGCCCAAGAGCATAAACAATGTGGACTGAAGAGAGAAAAACAAGAAGGGTGGGACTTCATGGGCTAAAGGTGTAATTGGACAATTAACTCCAATATGCAAGTGGACCAGAACTTATAAAAGTGAGAGATCCCAATGACCAGTTGTCCATTTTGTGACCATTTTGGTTTATCTGGGGTGTAGCCCTGGCTGGCCTCTTGCTCTACCCAAGGCGGACCCATGGAGGCCTTTGAATAAATCCCTATTTTATTCCTTAACTCTGTCTAATCTCTGTTCTAGGTCAGCCTTCATAAAGCATCATCTAATCCCAAGGAAAGATGTGGCAGAAGCTCAGAAGAATCAACCTGGTTAGGAGCAGCACCCTGTCCATCAGCCCAGCATAAACACAGGGTGTGTGCATGCACTGATTTGTAGCACCTCTCATTCCCTGTGAGGTTAAAAACATCTCTTGAAAACCAAAGGACTTGGTCTATATCGAGTACATATCAATGACTCTGCTCAGAAACAACCTGGAGAAGGCCAACAATGCCCCACCCTGGCTGTGCTCTGTGGGGAACCTCCAGCAGCTCCACTGCTAACTCACCACTGCATCAGAGCTTTAAAACAAGCATTGGCTCAAGCAAATTTTGCATTTGCCCATAGCACTTGCCACCCTTCCTGACTGTGCATTTGTGCAGCAAGAGCAAACACATGGTGGTTGTTGTACAGGCCTGCACTTGCTGAATTATCTGCAAACAGGTCTGCTCCCTCTGAGATGTCACCTTGCTCAGCTGTTACATCCTCATTCACAATTTCCTTTTGTGCTGCTCACCGATACATATATTTTACCACAGACCATTTTGAGAAGAAAAACTGAGGCCTGGAGAAGTTGCACAGCACAGAGCAGAGCTCCTGGTTCCCAAGTCCTCGGCCCATGCCCCTCTGTAACACCACACTGCTTTATTTCAGTGGGATTCTCTCCCATTAGCAAAAAGGGTAACTTTAAAAACTACTTACCTGTTCCCACAGTCAAAAAGACATTCAGAATTACCATAGCAATTGCTGAACTTGCTCTCTAAAATACTGCTAATGATATCACAGAAAATGACTTCTCCTGCTCTTATCAAACTTTCTGACCTCTCTGCTCATTACTTTGGCATAACAATCACTTTTTCCCCCACTATCAGCAATCACAGGGATAGGGCAGGTGACAAATGCTTGACTGCTGAGTAACCTCTGCAAGTCAGTTATGAATTTTAGTAAAGTGTATTTATTCATAATTCCTGATCCCAGCACTATTTGCTCAGAGACCTGAGCACTCATCATTGATTCCAGTGCTACCATAGCTACTTACTGGCAGCTCGCTGGTGGCCTGTGCCACACAGAAGACCACTGTGTAAAACTTTTGGCTAAGCAGCATTCTTACACAGCCTAAAAATATGCCTGGAACAAGGAGAGAGGTTTTCAGGAGGCATGAAGGTTCTGACACAGCCCTCATTTTTGAATTTCCTTTTTGAATGCAATTTTCCTCTTGAGCACACTGATGTATAAAAGAAGTGCATCAGGAATGCTGCAGTAACAGGAAAGAGCCATCAGCTAAAAACATGGACCTTACAAGATTTCCTGTGATGAGGGACATTTTTTACCTGACAGCAATTTTCTCTGGAGTCTCACTTGTATCAACACATCCCAAATTGCACCTCAGGAAATCAGACCAGTCCCAGGGAGTGGGTGCATGGCTGGTGCAGGTGAGGCAGAGGAGGGAGCCCACCCCAGGCTATGCCTCCTTTTGGGGTCCTACAGCAGCACTCAGAGCTGGCAGGAAAGGAGGGAGGGAAGTGTGAAACCCATCCGTGATGCATCAGGTTTTAGCTTTTATATTTTTCAGATTCTGTGCTGCTTTGGTGTGTAGTTCTGAGCTTCATATTAGGGGATGGTGAGCTCTCTTCAAAGAGTAGGGAGATAAAACAATTCCTTCTCTAGCTGGGGACCAAGGACAAATGATCCAAATCTCAGGCCCAAGAGCATAAACAACATGGTCTGAAGAGAGAAAAGCAGGATTGGACTTGATAACCTAAAGCTGGAATTGGACAATTAACTGCTCTATGCAAGTGGACCAAAACTCATAAAAGTGAGAGACCCCATGGCCAGCTGTTCATTTTGTGACCATTTTGGTTCATCTTGGGTGTAGCCCTGGCTGGGCTCTTGTGCTGTCCAAGGTGGATCTGTGGAGGCCTTTGAATAAATCCCTACTTTATTTTTTAGCTCTGTCTAGTCTCTGTTCTAGGTCAGCCTTCATGAGACATTATCTGGAGACAAAACAAGAGGCTGTGGCACAAGAGGAGGAATTACAGCAAGAATGAGAGGTCATTCAAAGCAGCACTTACTACAGAAGGGACAAGCAATTAAAGGAAAGGTGGGACCATCACAAATGGCCAAACTAGAAAGGCATGTGTGGAAGGACCAAAGTTGCCTAGGAACAGACAGGGAACCACTGAAATACTACAAAATCTCTGAGAATTAGGAATTTTGCTGAACATTTCTGAGTAAAAAGTATTTGTTTTATTGGCAGTGAACTGAAACACCTGGACACGCAGCCACGTCTTCCTGGTCAGACTGATAGGGTAACTACAAGTGGGACTAATTCCTGTGCTTTTCTGCCATCCTCCCACTTTCATTCTGAGAAAAAAAAAAACCCAAAAAACTAATTATAGCTTTAAAACCAGCACATCTAAACCATAACCTCCTAATTTTTGATTTACTTGTTCTTCATCACATTAAATCAATGCATTATTGTCCCAGGTGTGTCTCTCTGGCCTTGCTGGTTCACAAGACTTTTCATGCCTTAGTTCTCAGTGATTACTTACACTGTAGGGCATTAGGGACTGCTTTAGATAAAAAATTTTTGAATTGGTTTGAATTTCTTGTTCCACCTGGATGAAGTCATGCCTATCACTTCTCACTGCAACATTTTGTCTGCTAGTTTTTTGCTTGTTTTTCTACTAGGACATAGTTGAAAAAATGCATTTTGACTGCATTTGGAGAGAGCACTCCAAACAATATATATTGGAATATCTTTGGTACTGCCACTGCAACAGGAACACCTAGATGGGAAAAAGCAAACCTCAGAATTTAGCAGTACTTTAAAAGCTGTCATAAATTTATTTATTGCAGTGAGGATGAAGAACAGCAAAAGCAGCTGTCCAGCTAAGCACTTTGCAAAGCACAGCAATGATTTAAGGGTTTGTTTCTTGCAGATTTCAAGTCAACCTTGAACTCCCAACTCCTTAGGTCACTTCACAAAATGAGATTGATGTGCTGAGGTAGTCAGGAGAAATTACTGGTCCACTACCAAACACTTCTGATGATGTTTGAGAGCATGAGCAATCCCAGTTAAGGTGTCTTTCCTTAAAAATCAGTGGGTGCTTAAGTGCTTTGCTGGATTTTTGCCCGAGTTCTTCCCAAAGTGTTCTCTAATTAGACACCAGCCACAGCAATTTACAGTTAATACTTCCTTCATTCCAAGAAACTCTAACCAGAGTTTGACACTCCTGGCCAAGCAGTGACATTAGCAAGCCTCACACTGCCAAAGCACACCCATGGCTGTCACCTCAGCTTTGCATTGCAGTGGGGCAGCCAGTGGTGCCTGCAAGCAAGGGACACAGAGAGTGACAGAGTCCTCCTTGCAGCAGCCCTGGACTGGCCCTGGAGCGAGGCAGCAGCAGGGGACAGATCATTAAAAGGGAAAAGGAAAGGCTGTAAAAAGCTTGTTGACTTCCAACGAGCCAAAGGGCATCCTTGCAGAAAATGGCTGGAACAGCAGCCTGGACACAGAGGAGATCATCAGGCAAGAAACCTATGAGCTTAGTACAAGACTAGCCACTTTTATTATTTCTTTTGAGAAAAAAATTACCAGAATAGGAAGAAATCAAACTGTACGAAATGCACTAGCAAGGCACACCTTTATAATCCTTCAGCCCTATTGCCAACAGAACTGTAGTAAGAAATTTGGAAATTATCCCTTTTTCAGCCCTGATGCTGTGCAGTGCCTGAGTGTTTCAAGCTCCCAATGCTCTGCCAGGGAAGGGAGCTGGATCCCACCACAGTCTCCACTTCTCTGCACCAGGTCTGACCACACTGGGAACTGTGTGAAGAACAATTTCAGCAATTGGCAGCTGAAACCTGGCCTCATTAACATCCAGCACTCCTGAGTTTGGGAAGAATGGAGTGTACATTTGACCTCTGTGGTAGCTAAAGATGGTCTGAGCTGGGCAGGCACAGCTTACATTTAATATTCCTGTGATTTAATCAGCATTCAGAACTGTCAGCAGGTCCCACGGAGTACAACCAGCAGAGGAGCCCAGGTCTGCAGGGCACACAGGTACCTGGGCAGGGACACACTGCTGGATGCTGCAGGAGTAGGGATTGCAGCAAAGGCTGACAATGCCATGGCTAATCACTTCCAAGGGCCAGCTGAGGATGGATTAGACCTGATATGTGAAACAGCCTCACAGGCACCTTTCATACAACATGCCAGGCAGCAAACCTGGGGCATCCTGCTGTTGTCTTGTCTTTGAGTGTTCTCATTCTGTATTTGCTACTGCAGACCTTGGCTGGCAACCCAGAGGTATTTCCTTTCAAATCATTCTTCTCCATTCTAAAGGTGATTTTCACTCATTCATTCCCTTACATTGAACTGGTCCCTTAAATGAACATTTCCCAGCCAGCCTCCTGAGCCCAACT